TATGGCGCCTTTGAATCAAGAAAATAGTGGTTCAACAAATAATCACAGTTATGATAAGAAAAGATATAGATTGCAATGAACCCTACTTTCAGCAAGTACTTGTTTTGTCCTCCTTAGGCTCCAGGCGGCTAGTGCCAAAGTGATAGTGTACATCAGAATCACGTGGGATGTTCACTAAACATGCAGGCATTGGTATTTAACAGAGGTCTGGGATCAGACTGGATGTGTGTTGGGGGAAGTTGTTCAAGTTCAACAAGTTTCCAGGCACTTCCAAGGCTGGTGATCTATGAGAAACTCTGCTGCAGATTATGAAGCAGGGGTTTCCAGTTTGGCTGCACGTTAGAATCACCTGGGGAGCTTTTGAAACAACTAACACGTAAGGTGAATCCCAGACTGATTAAATCAGAACCTCTGGAGGTAGGGTACAGGCAGCAGTATTTTTGAAAGCTCCCCAGGTGATGCCTTAGCGCATTCACATTTAAGAACCATGGCTGTAGAGGGTTGAGCAGAGCAGTGCTTCTGAAACTTCCATGGGCATATGAAACACCTGGGCTTTTGTTAAAATGCAGACTCTGATTCGGTAAGTCCGGGTGATTCCTGAGATTTTTGTAACTTTTACAAGCTCCCCAGTAATGCCAAATGCTGTAGACCCTAAAGAACACTCTTTGAGTAGCAACACTAAATCACTAAATTCATTTCCACTTTATTATTATCTTCCTTGTCACTCAGCAGAACATGGCAAGTTAATTACGAATCAGAGAAAAGCCAAAGGAACCAAGATAATACCTTGCATAGTTTTTATATTCTTTAGACAACTTAATCGACGTCTTTCATGAAGGCAACAACTGCAAATGTAAGAAAAGGATAAACGCCTAAACAGAGCTGGGGGAAGCAGAGCCAAATCTAGAGTTTTTGAGGTAATGAAAAATAGCCCCAGAAGCTTTTTTTTCTTTTGTCTACAAGACTAGTCTCACTAATGGTTCCCGAATTCAAGTCTATGGACTGAACCAGCTGCATCAGTATTTTCAGGCACAGAAAGAAAAATACCTCATGTTCTTACTCATATGTGGGAGATAAAAAATAATGATAATAGCAAGTTGAACTTTTAGAGGTAGGAAAGGGGAGAGAGAGGGAGGATAGTGAAAGGTTGATTAATGGACACAAAATTACAGCTTGATAGGAAAAATAAGTTCTATTGTACAGTAGTGCTAGGCATCTATAAACAATAACTTATTGTATGTTGTCAAATGGTTAAAAGGGAGGAGCTTAAATGTTTTCATTACAAAGAAGTGATAATTTTTTGCAATGATGAATTTGCTAACTACCCTGATTTGATCGCTACACATTGTATACGAATGGTTAAAAGGGAGGAGCTTAAATGTTTTCATTACAAAGAAGCGATAATTTTTTGCAATGATGAATTTGCTAACTACCCTGATTTGATCGCTACACATTGTATACATGTATTGAAATATAACTCTGTACTCCATAAATATGTACAATCAACTTGTTTTAATAAAAATAAAAATATTTTTTTAAAAAAAGACTTAGGAGCTTGATACAGATACAGGTTGCTGGGCTCACCACTGGAAATTCTGAGTCACTAATAATGATATAAGCAGCACAGTGCATGTGCTGGGCCTCTCACATCCAGTATCATCTCATTTAATCCTCATTACAGCTCTGTGAAGTATGTACTATTATATTCCCCATGATTCAGATGAAAAAAACTGAGACCTGGAGGAGTTGAATACTTTGCCCTACGCCACTCATTTAGTAAGAGGCAGTACTCAGAGTAGTCTTGGTAAGCTCTATTTTTAGAAGTTCCCCAGATGCTAACTATTCTTATCTCCCTATGGAAAAGAAAATCTCAAAGGTATCCTGTATTTCCTGAAAGGATGACCATAATTATGAACCTGCTTGTAATAATTAAATATGAATTTATCTATTTGCATTTAAGACATGGAAGTAGATCTAGACAGAAAAGGCTTCAATTTTAAGAATAAGAAAATTTTATATAATGGAGAAGGCAGCAAATATTTTTAAAGAATATCTTTGAAATAATGCAATAATTAAGACAATAGTAAAATTCATTTTCAGAGATTTATTGAGCACAGATGAAGACTACTTACTTGTCCTTCAACAGGAAATGAAAAAAGTTTGTTATATCAATACAGTGGAATGCCATTCAGTCACTACTAGCAATGGTTGTAGAACACCACTTACCAGCATGGAAGAGAGTTCACAATATAAGAGATATAAAATAATATTTATAGCATGACCCCATTTTTGTTTAAAATTTATAGTAATGAAAATATATTTAAGCAAAGAATAAAATTATAGGCCCTTATACACCTCTCTAGATGGTGAGGTTATGGATAGTCTTTCTTTTTTTTCCAATCTGAGTGTCGCTTAAGCTCCCACTTTGTGACACTATATCAAGCATTGTGGGAAATAAATGAAGTGTTTGGGCTGATTCCGTCCTTACAGAACTAACTGGATCCAGACTCATATATCAGCATGTTTTTATTTAATCTATACTGTGCTTAGAAAGGAAAACTGGGTTAATTTGTGGTTCTCTGCCAGGTATCTTCTCTCCTTCCCTCCTTACCTCTACCCACCTATCTACCCATCCATCCGTCCATCTTTTCATCATTGAACCAGTATTTACTAAGTATCTGCTATGTATCTATGAACTGATCATGGAGAGATGAAAAAGATACTCCCTGCTCTGTAGATACTCATTGTCTTTTTAAAAATATTTTTCTTTTGGAATAATTTTAGATTTATAGAAGGTAGTTGCAAAGATAATACAGAGGGTTTCCATATACCCTTATCCAGTTTCAGTGTTCTCTACTATCCCTTACATTACCATGGTACCTTTATCAAAACTAAGAAGCCAACATTAGTACATTACTATTAACTCAACTCTAGACTTTACTCAGATTTCACCAGTTTTTCTAAACACATCCTCTTTCTGTTCCGGGATCCAATCCAGGATACTACAGTGCATTTTTTTGTCATGTCTTCTTAGTCCTCTCTGGTCCGTAATAGTTTCTCAGACTTTCTTTGATGACCTTGACAGTTTTGAGAAGTACCAGACATTTAGTTTCATAGAATGTTCCTTAATTTGGGTTTGTCTGATGTTTTCTTATGATAATACCAAAGGTATGGGTTTTTGGAAATAATACTTCTAAGGTGAAGTACCCTTGTCATCACATCATATCGGGCTACCTGATATCCACATGACATTGTTGGTAATGTTAAATTAATCACTTGGTTAAGGTCATATTTGCCAGGTTTCTCCACTATGAAGTTACTATTTTTTCTTTAAAGGTAAGTCACTCAAGGAGTGACTCAAGGTAAGTCCCCTCAAGGAGGGGAAGAATTAAAGTTTCACTTCTGAAGAGGCCAGTATGTACACAGGTTGCTTGGAAGTCTTCTTTAAGGAAGACTTGTCTCTTCACCTTCATTTGCTTAATTATTTATTTATTTCATTATTTATATTAGTGTGGACTTACAGATATTTATTTTATACTTTGGGTTATAATCCAACACTGTGTTATTTTGTTGCTCAAATTGTTCCAACCCTAGCCAATGAGGGCTCTTTCAGTTGGCTCCTGCTCCCCCCGACATGTCCTCACACTTTTGTGTTTTGAACACTTATTTTCTGTAACTACAAGATGCTCCAGGCTCATCTTGTATTTTCCCTGCCCCAGCCTTGGAATTAGCCAAGTGTCCAAGGAGCCCTGATTCCTTTTATTGGAGAATGGTATTTAGAAATCAAATGTGAGTGCTGGGTGGTCATTGTCTTTTGAGAGAAAGGAGACATAAAAAGTGAAAAATGTTGTGTGTAATGTACAAAGAGCTATGGAAACAGGAA